ACGTGCCGATACATCCACTACTCTGTCAAAAGCAAAAGTATCCCATATCAGCAGGGTCGAACGTACTCTAGATTTGATGGACTTGTTTTGACCCTCAAATTCTTCAGTCGGCCTTATACTTTGGAGGAAACCAGAAAACCCTCCAGCCCAGTTCAAGAATAAGCCTGTGGAAAGTTACTTCTTCAAAAGCAAAAGTATCCCATATCATCTCTTCTCATTTTTCTTCTCTTTATCCTTCATGCTGCCTGCAAGATAGGGAGAATGTGAACAATCAGCCGGAACTCTGATTGCTTACCTTGTCTGTTAACTCTTTCAGCAGATCCCCTAGCTCGGCGACTTAGGGGACTCCTACTACATGGTTTGTATCGTGCTTGACCAAGCCTGAAACTACAAGTAAGCTTCAAGTGACATTGATACATTACCTTGTGCATCTCCACCAGTTACAGATACCACCCCTGGATGGAGGAAGAGTACTTCCAGAGAAGATTCCACATCTACCTATGAGACAGATAAGGAAAGTCAAGACGATACCACACTCCGGTACTTAGAAGTTTCGTGGTTACGAGATCATTTTCCCACAATATTTCCTAATGTCATTTGTACTAAATCATTCACTTGTACTCCCTAAAGGAGAGCTTGAACCTATGTACTTGTGTAAACCCTTCACAATTAATGAGAACTCCTCTATTCCGTAGACGTAGCCAATCTGGGTGAACCACGTACATCTTGTGTTTGCTTTCCTATCTCTATCCATTTATATACTTATCCACACTAATGACCGGAGCAATCTAGCGAAGATCACAAAAAGTGATCGTTTTCGCTACCTAGGATCTATCTTGCAAGAGAACGGAGAATTAGATGGAGATCTCAACCATAGAATACAAGCTGGATGGATGAAGTGTAAGAGTGTATCCGTCGTGTTGTGTGATCGTCGTAGGCCACTGAAGCTCAAGGGAAAATTTTATAGGACGACAATAAGGCCAACAATGTTGTATGGCACAGAATGTTGGGCGGTGAAGCATCAACACGTACACAAAATGGGTGTAGCGGAGATGAGGATGCTTCGTGGGATGTATGGGCACACGAGAAAGGATAAGATTGGGAAGGAGGATATCCAAGGTAAAGTAGGAGTAGCCAAAATTGAAGGAAATATGAGAGAAAATCGGTTCCGGTGGTTTGGACATGTGCAAAGAAGGCCTACTGACGCTCCGGTTCGAAAATGTGACTACGGGACAGAAGTTCAGGGCCGAAGGGGTAGAGGAAGACCTAGGAAAACTTTGGAAGAGACCCTAAGAAAAGACTTGATTACTTGGATCTAACGGAGGACATGACACAAAACCGAGCGCAATGGCGTTCTAGGATTCATATAGCCGACCCCACTTAGTGGGAAAAGGCTTTGTTGTTGTTGTTGTTGTTGTTGTACTTGCCGATAAGGGCATAATCGTCAATACACATACTTGGGGAGAAATTACATAGAAAAATTAGGGACGGGTCGTCACAATTAGTGTCCACACTCATAATGAATTTACATAATTTAGTGCTTTTGTTGTTGGTTATGTAGAGTGTTTATTGTTAGGTTTTAGGGAGCTTTAATATAAAAAAAAAGTTTGGGATAAGTTTTGAGGAATTTGAGAGAATTTGAGAGATTTAGTAGTTTATTTTAAGCATTCACAAATCTCACCTCTCTTCATGAGATTTCGAGGGAATTAAATTAAAATTTTATATGAAATCTCTACTGACACACCCCGTCCCGAAGGAGGGCGTGCTGGCCGTCACATAAGAGTGACGTAACCATTTACACAGTTCGGAAGCTTTAGAGATACAATTACTAAGATATAACACCCGGGGGTGAATCCTACTTTTGTGAATTCTGTCAGAACACCGCTGGATTTCTCCTAGCCACCAAAGCTCTGCTAACTTGAACCTGGAGTGGCGCAAAACAAAATTGAGTGGGTCAGTAAAACAAAGTTTCTCGAAAACCTTTCACTTCTTTCACTTAAAACATTTCTAACCCCTCGCTGTAAAACCTGTATACTTTCCCAGAAAAAATAGTATATAAACATATATATACACATATCATCAAAACTCAGCTCATATCCATCAACATAACATCTCAGAAATAATATGCCACGCCATGCCAAATATAATCAGAAATGCATCAATATCAATCAGGTGAAATAATAAATCAACCGGAGACCCTACAATGGTCCTGTACGGCTGATTCTAAAGCTCAACATCCCACTCAGCTGGAGTCACCACAGTGACCTATACGACCCTACCGGAGTCACCAACTGTGACCTGTATGGCACTACACTGCACATCACTCGGAACTACGTATAGTAGTCTGTACGATGAAAGGTGTATAAATACTCTAGTGCTTCTCTCATCAATCATCAACGCGCATAACTAAGGTCACCCACTAGTCGGAATCACATCTAGTGATCTATACGACTAGCATGTCGGAACCCTCACATGGTCTGTACGACATCCACCTACTTGGATCCAAGACGAGCGTGCGGTGTGGTGAATAATATAAGCACTATCACCTAGGGTGCAGGTTATGAGCTTTCAATGCAATTCTCATCAAATAACTCATCTGAATAATATAAAAACTTACATGTGCGTCCACCGCGTCAATTAACATATATATGCATCCATTATCAAACTAAATATCTCAACATTTGCATGCATGGCAATTTAAATCATAATTTTCATATAAACGCATTTTCTGGAAAAACCAGTTGTATATAGGTAGTACGAAAACAAAACTGCCCACTCACCTGTAGTTCGCCCTACAACTCCCTAGCACAATACGTCAAGGCGTCATGACGATCGGCGCCTAAAACAATAACCAAATCCAACCTCAGAATTTATATCGATAGAATATATAACTTATATAAAATACGTCACTACGTAGTTCGATCTGAAAGATCTGCAACTCAGATTTTAAATCCATAACTTCCAGAGGTCCACAATATATCTCTAGGACAACATCCTAAAATTTCATTACCATCCAACTGTCGGATCTCCGTCAATTTCCAAAACTAAGTGACGGTTAACATTTTATTTTATGAACTTACAACTCCAATTCCGGAAGATCCGTAACTCGGATTCCCAATCCGTAAGTTCCTATAATCCTCAAATATTACGTATTACAACGTATCAAAGTTTGGTGACGATCTAATGGTTGGATCGTAAATTCACTTTTTTTTTTTCTTAACCACGAATCGTAACCAACTTAGGTTCAATTACTCAATAACTTCTCATACGGTGCTAAAATTGGGTATATGAATATACCACAATGACCTACTTGACGTCACGGACGTCGTAATATTTTTAGAAAAATTTTCTGATGTGGCACGCGCCCCCACGCGCCAAGGAACGGTACACGCGCGCCCACGCGCGTCTTCTTCCTCGCGAGCTCGCTGGACTGGTTTTTCCGGTGGCCGGAAAACTGGGCAATTTTCAATTGCCTTGTTCTCCTTCGTTTCTCAACCATTTTCTTCGTATAATATATCAATTTGAAGCCCTCAACATGTAGAATCACAATAGACTAGTTTCAAGGTCTAAAAATCACGAAATCTCACCGGAACAATTCCAAGAAAACCGGCCAAGGTTGAACCCAGTGATCCCGACGTCCAAAACCTTCAAACGAAGCACTCCGAGCTTCCTTGGGACCTCACTAAGCTCACTACAAGCTTAGAATTCCCTGAAAATCAAGAATTTACGTGTGCATGAACAGTATCATAAAATGGGAGTTCGGGTTTCACGTGATTCCAAGGGTTTCACGTGATTCCAAGGGTTTCACTTCCTAAAACTAGTACCATTCAACTCAGAATATCAAAAGGATGAAGAATCATACCTTATTTGCTTCGATCTGTGAAGTTTAGAGGGTTCTTGGGTGAGGCCGTACAATTCGAGAGTGAGAGAGAGAGAGAAGTCGACGGGGAAGAGAGAGACACAGGGGAAAGAGAGAGGGATGAGGTGTATGTGTGTGGTCCAACCACAATCAAAAATCTATTTCTTACCACACAAAACACAAACCAAAATTTAATCTACATAAATATAATTTCCAAAAGTTTATGAGATGTGTGCATTTAGTCCAAAATATATCACACACACACATACCTTAGTCACGTTAAGGTCATTTTCGTCATTTCACATTCCCGATATAGAAATCCCGGGACGGGCTGTGACATCTACAAATCAATTAAACTCCATAAAAATCCATGAATTTATAAATCTATTAAAATCTCTCAAATTCACAATTGAATACACCTTTCTAAAGTCTTTTAAAATCCTTTCAAATCCTCATTTGACTACACCCTGACGTCAAAGTACAAAAGTTTAATATAATAAAAAATAAATAAATAAAGTAATAAAAATTTGACGCATCGAACCCTCGCGTCCGTCACACACACACTCTCCTCTCCCTTGCTATTTTTTAAATTGAACACTGACTATTTCTTAAATTGAACACAAGTACTACACTATTTCTTAAACTGAACAAAGACTGTTTCTGAAAACTGAACACGGTACTCACTATTTTTTAAACTGAACACTGGTACTATCACTATTTCTTAAACTGAACACTAATACTATCACTATTTCTTAAACTAAACACTAACTATTTCAAAAATTGAATACAAGTACTACACTATTTTGAGCATATGATTTTGTCAAGGATATAGTCTCCTTAGTTCATTTACAAACTCACGTGTGAACCACTAAATGAGATTACACGTAAGAAGACGTGTTAGCAATCCCACATTGGTAGGGTAATGAAAAAATACTTCACTTGACACTCATGTCACATAAAAAAAATAAAAAAAATTGCAAGTCACTGCACCAATCCGAAGACTAAGGAGGAGGATTATCTACCCGCATATTCCCATCTTCTTCCCTCCCCTTCTCTCATAGATTGATTTTTGTCTTATTATCTCTATAATAAAAAATTAATATAAGATGTTGACGTGACTTAATTGTGATCGTTCAAATAGAAGGAGATTGAAGGGTAGAGAGATTATGAGAGTAGAGTCCTCCTCCGAAGACTAAAATCTAGAGGAAGAAAACGTAGTGGCCACTCTACCACACACTTGGTGAGCAAATATCTGTAACTTTTTTTTTTTTCACAAGCAAATATAAATGCATCCTTGATTTGTCAAAAGCTAGACTTGGACAATATAAAACTCACCAGTCAGTAGCCTGTGACTTAGTGCCCCTCCTTCTCTCCCAGAAACTCCTGAACTTTTGAAACCTTCTCTGTCGTCGACTCCTTTCTCCGGCTTGGGATCGGCGGCAACCCAGTGCCCATCCCTCATCGCGCTCCTCCCTTTTTCCCTTTCTTCCACCCTCTGATTCCTCCCTTTCTCCCCTTCTCTCCCCGTTTTTTCACCCTTCTCTGTCTTTCATTTTCTTCAACCTTCTTTTACCTTCATTTCTTCCCTTCTCGCCCTCCGTTTTCACCCTACCTCTCCATCCCCCCTTCCTCCCCCTACTCCATCCCTTTTTTCACTTCTCCAAACCACCATGGTTGATGATTTGGATTTACTTTTTATGCATTTAGCTTTCAGCTTTTTTCTCTCTTGAGTATTTTGTATTTACTCTGAGTTTGGTCTCAGTTGTCCCTGTTTTTATCTCATATTTGGCTTCTATGCCTTGATCCTCTCCAAATATCGCTCCTCACTGTGAATTTACAACCATCTACCATTGCTGCTAGTTTCATTGGGTGTCACTTCCTAGGCTCTCCTCCGGAGGTGTACTTTGGTGGCTCGTAGCATTTAAAGGGCATTTTACACTATTTGGTAAGATTATGGGAACGCTCTCAGTGCGGTTAGCTTGTCTACCCCTATTTTCCGTTCATCCGTTTGGTTCTTCAGCCCTTCTTCAGGGTGATGGCGTAGGATCTGCAGTTGCGGTAGTGCTGCTTTGTAGAGGTGGCTGCTTTACATTTTCCTGTGTAAACTTTTCTGAGCCCATTTCATTGTATTTTTCTTTTATGAAGTTGGGCTTTTACTTGGCTTATCTGCATTCTCCTATTGAGTTGTTTTTAAGGAAAACTAATGAAAAGGGCTTGAAAACTTTGAGTTTTAATGATAAGGACAAAATAAAGGGTAAAGTGAATAGTACCAGGATTGACTTTTTAGTGTAAAAATGTGGTTTTTCGTTAAAGTGAACAGTACCGGGAGCTTTTCGTTAAAGTTCCCTTGTTTTTATCTTGGACTGGCTTTCTCTGGAAATTTACTTTGATTGACCAAAACCAAAAGACTTGGACAATATAATATGAGACAAATAGTACCTTTGAATTTTCAACTTTTAGAGACATCCCGTACCCATTGATTTGGAAAATCCAATTAAAACCTTCACCAAGAAGAAGGGTGAACATAAAATCCCTACCACCATTGACAATCTGCAAAAAAGAAAAAATTTTGATCAAATAATAGATTTTGTTAAATTAGATATTAGATTAGCCACTAGAGTTTAAAACTATTTTTTGGAGATGCTGATAGCATGTTACATGCTATCACTGCCAATGGATTATGGAGTGTTGGATGCTTCCTTTTACTTGTATTAATTTATGTAATCAACAAATAATTAACCCAGTTTAGAGCTTTAAATCCACAGTTTCTAAGTCTATTTAAATGAACTCCTTTTTACTTGAAGTCATGAATTGCAAAGCTTGAAAAATTTCCCAAAAAATTTCAACATGGCCAAGAAGGCTAGCTGCAGCAGCTACCTTTTTGCTCTGTTCTTATTTTCTAAGACTACTTTCCTGGCCATGGCACAAAACAATAAGACTACCCCAGTCCATGTGTGGGTCTGGGTCTTGACTTTGATGCCTTGTATGGGAAGATGGAGCTGAGCTGCATCGAAATCTTAACTACAAAACCATGCTTGTTCTGCACAAAAGGAACTTCCCTTTAGATGTTGTTGTCACAGCTTCTGCAGGTAATTCTATCTCTTTTCTCCTTGTTCATGTTTTGTTTTTGCCCCTTCCATTTAATCCCCGTCTGTTGAACGCCTTGCATAATAGTTAAACAATAATTTATGCCCGCGCGCGGTGTGGCAAGTTGAAAAATTTGTCAAGTAAATTTAAAATTTTAGTAAAGGAGGGGGAATTGAACTTAGGAGTTTGAGTGTTGAGGTGATGTGTATCTTTCTGCTTTGTATCTATCACTCTAACCATCAAGTTAAATTTTATTATTTTGACATAGCACTCTCTCAGTTGTCCTAAGTTTTGCTTCCATGAAGTCATATTGATGACAAATGAATTAACAGTTGTTTATTCACATCAAATAAGAACTTTTTTCTAAAGTAAAAACAGTAACCTTCAAGATATACACAGGGATGAGTAATGACCTATATGAAATTACTGTCATTCATGTAAGCAAGAAGTGTGTCCATCAAAATCTTGACCTGCACAGATTTACTGCTTTTCCCTGTACAGAAAAAACATGAGTATCTAATGATTCACAGAACAAAATATTGGGTAGTGGCAGATTATGTAATTTTGGTACAGAAAATGATTAATTCTAATACATATAGCACCAAAATTATTATAAAAAAAAAAAGTTTAATCAAATCTCTATAAGACATAGATGTTCAGTCTACAAAATTTAAAACTAAAGCGCTTATATCAAAAGATTCCTTCATTTAATTCTTTATTATTAAAATAATTCAAATATGTAGATATGAACGTTATCACATTGAGTAGATCAGTGAATATGCTCCTCTAAGCACTCAAGTTCGAATTTCCTTTCATAATTTAATTTACTTTAAAGATAAAAAATATCTAAGACTATTCTTTATTATAGGAAGTCAGTTTTGCATTAGATTATAAATAGGCAGTTCCCGTCAATTAAACTTCTACATCCGTAATTTTAAATTCTAGTTTGGCTGCTTTCAATGTAGCGAAGAATGCTTCAACTTTGAATTAAGTGGTGGAATCTAAGACTATTCCCATTTAGGCATATTTAACTACAAATAATATATGAGTCTTTAAGCGTAAGAAGTCATTCATCTTATTTACTTGCAAATTACAGTTTTAAATGAAAAATAAGTCAACTATGATTTTTCTTCCGAATTACCAAAAGACGACAACAATAGAAATGAATATAAGAAGGAGAATAAAAATGAGTACGAAAAAAATTATTGAGAGAGTACCACAAAGTCAATAAAAATTAGTTTAATTTCCCATATAATATTGTTAATATATTCAATGTACATATCTTAATTTTCATAGTATATGGTTACATATTTGTTCTGGCCGTATAGATTGGGTCATGGCGACGACGACCGGCTGATTCTTTGAGAATTTCACAGGGACTTTTCCATGTGTGATTTTCCAGGTAATTTTCATGTGTACCTACTCTGCATATTCATTCATATATTTATATGTATATGCTTTAGCTTCACAAATAGATGTTACTTGCAAATTGAGAAAGCATTCGTTCCAATAACATGGGTGCCGTCAAGAAACTTTGTATAGTCTTTTTTTGCTTTCTCTTCCTCTTGTCATGGATTTTCAATGTGGCTACGGTTGCGGCGGTGGAAAACACAACGATCCAAGTGAATGTGGGTGTTGTTGTTGACCTCGATCAACCCAGTCAGAGCGGGAAGATGTATTTGAGTTGCATCAAAATGGCCATCGAGGACTTCTATGCATCTCATGCTCACTTCAAGACCAGGCTTGTTTTGAACACTAGGGACTCCAAACAAACTGTTGTTGGTGCAGCTGCTGCAGGTTCTCTCTCTCTCTCTCTCTCTCTCTCTCATATAATGATCTCCTATTGTAATGAATGACACATGCCTAGAGTGTGCTATAAATGAATTTGTTTAAATAATTAGTGTAACAATTAACAAATTATGTTAAAGGTGCGTGTGCAAAACCCTGCAATTTTCGATCTCACGTGTTTAACAAGACAAGGGAATGTGAGCAAGAGGGGAAAACGGCATGTTTTTCAGTTTTGTCTTTTAATTATATTCTTCAAACCGTGTTAGGTAGCTGGTCCCGTCAAGCTTTGTGAATTCTTCAACGGAAAAGGATCCTGGGGATCCTAGGGATCCCGTGATCATGACGTTCATCGTACATCGTGCAGTCAGAAATTATTTTAAAATAAAAAAATTAAATATAAATAGTACCTAACAAAAACTGACCGCACGATGTACGATAAACGATCACGATCACGGGATCCCTATGATCCCCAGGAAAAGGATCCAACGAGGATCCTTTTCCTTCTTCAACGACCAACCAAAATGTTGTCTCTTTGTAGATTCGAGGTATTAGTGAATATTGACATCGTTTTGTACGGATAAGGATCCTCTTCGGGTCCTTTTTGTAAAAATTCTTAGGATCCTCACATCCTATCCATTCATAGTATATCATATGGTCAGCTTTCGTTAAGTACTATTTGTGTTTAGTTTGAAATAAAATAATTCATAATGATTTTTCACCGTACAATGTACGATAAACAGATAGGAAATAAGAATTCCTAGGATGGAATTCAAATCCATTTCGTATGTCATGTGATCATAATTAACTGTGCAATTTATAAAGGTTTACAGTCCTTTTGGTATCCTACTAAAACAATTTCTTTTATTTTTTTAATTATTCTTAAGACCAGAACAATTTTTAGTAAGACTCAAAAAATTGTTTGGTGTAAAATTCAAAATTATTTTTTAAGTGTTCACAATCAAAAAAGAAAAAAAAAACTTTTAACTCATTGGTGGAGCTAACGGATGTAAGAGAGATAGGGGATCTGGCGTGAGAGTAGAGATAGAGGAGAGAGAGGAGAGAGAAAGAGAGTGTGTGGAGAGTGTGTTGAGTTTGAAACACTAAAAAAATGATTGCTGTGTTTTTAATATATAGGCTATTTTTTAAGTTGATTTTGAGTTCAATTTCTGAAACAGTCCTACCAAACAAGGATTCTTGACCTGAAACTCAAAAACTATTTTTGAGTTAAGAAAATTGAATTCAAGCTGAATATCAAACATATCTTTTAACCATTTTAACTAGAAAAAGAATGTCTAAATGTCTAATATCATCAGATTAATCACTCACTCTAGTCACATTTTTTATTGGGACACAGCTCTAGACCTGATAAAGAAGGTAGAAGTGCAAGCAATCCTAGGCCCAGTGACATCAATGCAGGCTAGCTTTGTTGTTAATCTTGGAGACCAAGCTCATGTACCCATTTTATCATTTTCTGCAACAAGCCCCTCTCTTACTTCACTCCAAAGCTCCTACTTCTTCCGAATCACACAAACCGACTCTCACCAAGTGAAGGCCATAAGTGCCATTGTTAAAAACTTCGGATGGAGACAAGTTGTGCCAATTTATGTAGACAATACGTATGGCGAGGGAGTCATACCCTTTTTAATTGATGCATTGCAAGAGGTTGATGCTCATGTCCCTTATCGGAGTGTCATTCCCACATCAGCTACAGATGTACAAATTGAAAAAGAGCTTCACAAGTTAATGACAATGCAAACTAGAGTCTTCATTGTGCACATGTTGCCCAAACTTTGCACCAAGCTATTTGCCAAGGCAAAAGAGGTAGGAATGATGAGAGAAGGCTATGTTTGGATAATGACCAACGGGGTAGGAAATCGTTTATGGTCAATCCCTCCAGTGGTTCTGAATTCAATGCAAGGAGTATTAGGTGTGGAAACTGACGTTCCAAGCACAGAGGAGCTTAAAATTTTCCGAAAGCGGTGGAAAAGAAGATTCCAACAAGACAATCCAGCCATCATCAATGTTGATGTCGATGTATTTGGATTTCGGGCTTATGATGCAGCTTTTGCACTAGCCTTTGCAGTAGAAGAAGTTGGGTTTAATAAAAACTCTGATTTCCGAAAGAGGAATAATTCCGATAACACAACAGATCTTGATACCTTCGAGGTCTCTCAATATGGTCCCAAACTTTCACAAGCCTTATCTAATACTTCATTCAAAGGCATAGCTGGTGACTTCAGGCTTGACGATGGGCAACTTCAGGCATCAACATTTAGGATAGTTAATGTAAATGGTGATGGAGTAAGAACTATTGCATTTTGGACACCAGAAAATGGTATGGTAAAGACACTGAATTCAGCAAACACAAGCATTCTTTCAATTTCAACTTCCAAGTGCAATCTTACAAGCATACTTTCAACATCTAAGTGCAATCTTTCACCGATTATATGGCCTGGAGATTCTTTCTCCGTTCCCAAGGGATGGGATATCCCAACAAATGACAAGAAGATGAGAATTGGAGTTCATGTAAAGCTTGGTTTTAGTGAGTTTGTTAAGGTAACCAAGAACCCTAGCACTAACACAACGGAAGTCACTGGGTTCAGTATTGATGTCTTTGAGGCTGCAGTTGAAGTACTACCATACGCTCTTCCTTACGAGTTCATTCCCTTTGAGAATTCTGATGGAACAATGGCTGGAACTTACAATGATTTGGTCTATCAAGTATCTCTTGAGGTAAACTTATATGTCAAAATAAACTATCGAGAACTGATTTCATTTTGGACCCGCAATTTATATTTTTCTCTGGTTACATCTTTTGTTGACAGAAATTTGATGCTGTGGTGGGAGACACCACAATTAGGGCAAACAGGTCTTTGTACGTGGACTTCACGATGCCCTACACAGAATCGGGGGTAGTAATGGTTGTGCCAAGCAGAGACACCAGGAGCAAAAATGCATGGGTTTTCTTGAAGCCTTTGACATGGGACTTGTGGCTTACGACTTTTTGTTTCTTCATCTTCATTGGTTTCGTCATTTGGGTACTTGAACATCAAATTAATGAAGATTTTCGCGGCCCTCCCTCACATCAAGTTGGCACAAGCTTTTGGTTCTCCTTCTCCACCATGGTGATTTCACATAGTAATTATCGATCCCTTCACTAGCTAATTTCAAAATAAGTAATCTTAATGGCATTCACTTATGTTTGGTACACTTTTTTTAAACCACTTTTACAGGGGAGAGAGTGGTTAGCAACTTGGCCAGATTCTTGATGATTATATGGGTGTTTGTTGTGCTAGTTCTGACACAAAGCTACACAGCTAATCTAGCATCGCTATTAACAGTTGAACAACTCCAACCAACTTTCACGAATATAAAGGATATACTAAGAAAAGGGGAGAATGTTGGATGCATGGAGAATAGCTTTGTTTGCGAACTCTTGATGAAACAAATCGGTTTCCATGAGTCCAAGCTTAAGGGTATGAATTCTATGGAAGAATGCGATGAAGCTCTTTCGAAGGGGAGTGGAAAGGGTGGTATTGCAGCTGTTGTTGATGAAACCCCAAATATGAAGCTGTTCATTGCGAAATATTGTTCCAAATATACCATGATTGGTCCAATCTTCAAAACTGATGGCTATGGCTTTGTAAGATTTCTCTCTATTATACATAAGGAAATGATTTAGACACACCTTTTTTTTTCCTTATGCATGCATACCACTGTTTATTTTTGCACCTTGATTTATTCAACTCAAATGTCATAATTAAACATGATGCATGAGGAGAAAATGCGTGCACGGAATTCATTTTCCTTATACATATATGTAGACATCTACGCACATGCATTTATAAAAACGGGACTTCTTTGAGGCGATCACTTTAATTGGCAGGTGTTTCCAAAGCGTTCTCCTCTTGTACCCGATATTTCACAAGCAGTCCTAAGCTTAACGGAAGGAGAAAAGATCATGAAAATTGGGAGCAAATGGTTCAGTCAAGAAAGCAATTGTGAAGATAACTCCAGGATTCCAAGGATCTCAAGCAACACTCTTGGTCTTGAAAGCTTTTGGGGCCTATTCCTAATTGCCGGGGCGGCTTCAATTCTAGCTCTCATCATATTTGTAGCTTCCTTCTTTTACAAGCATAGGCATGTCTTGGAGCAGCCTGATTCCAGAACTTCTTCGAGATGGAGAAGGGTTCGAGCCATGGTTGAAATTTTCAACGAAAAAGACCTCAACTCCCATACTTTTAAAAGCCGTCAACAAGAAGAAGGAATTGCGGGGGTTGGAGAAGAAGTTAAGGCCTCACCTAATAGGAACTGGCCTGAAAGTCCATTCAGCTATGCAAACGACACTGATAAGGTTTTTGGATTCTACGAAGGGCAACAAACGCCATCTACTACTAGTCATGGGTCGCCGGAGCTTACTATCACTGTTCAAGAAATGGGCACATATACGATGGACTCTATAACTAGTTAGGAGGGATTTTTCAATGTGCCTGGAATATGGGCACATAAGTAGAGAGCAAGGTTCTAAAAAACGCTAGGCGCTAGTCGAGCGGCGGGCTAGTGCCTAGCGCCTAACCAGCTAGGCGGGATCTAGGCGGCGTAGATGGATTTAGGTAAATTTCTTGTATATTTTGTAAATAAATGCATATTGACACTTACAAAAAATTATACTTGTATGAAATCTATGGATAAGATAATAAAAAAATGATAAAATGCTAAAAGAGTATTCAACAAGTCCAAAATTTAAAAACACATTAAGCATATATGTCATATAACTATAGTGAGGAGTATTGTAGGATGACAAATGTACAACAAGTTCACAATTTTAACCACTTAGATAGGATTTTTTTTTTTTTTAAATTTCATAAAAAAATTAAAAAAAAAAAAAAAACCGCCTAGCCCCGCCTAGGCCGCCTTCTAGAGCCAATCCGATTTTTCCAACCAAGCCTAGCCCGCCTAGGCGGCCGCCTAGAGCCGATCCGATTTTTCCAACTGATTTGCAAGAAAACACCTCGGCTCACCACCGCCTAGGCCGTTTTTTAAAACAGTGGTAGAGAGACACTTAATAAAAAAATTCCCTCCACTCGTATAATAACACATAGCGTTATGCCTAGCTTTCCTACCACATAAAAAAATCTCTTGCTAGTTAGGACTTCCAAATTCTAGACCATCGCAATTAATCTCTCTATAAATAACTTTCTTTGGACAATTAATTGAACATATGCAATCAGTCTTCGCCTACTTTTATTTGTGGATCGAAAAACGCACAGGAAACCAAACAGCCGAATGCTAATTTTCTACATATAGTTTGAATCTTCTAGCTACAGCACAGTATTAATTTACTGATCATATTCGTCCCTCAATTTATCTTGAGACAACCACCCTAGCACAATAATCTGCAAAGAAGTGCACCTGTTATACACACTGACATCATGAGCAGCTTGGGCCAATGCCAGTTTGAGGGATCTAACATCTCGCTCACTTCCATTATTTGCACTGGGTTTGAAGGTTCTGATGGCTCAAGCACTACTGGCATGCTAGGATCAGAGGTTGACATAACCGGAAAGGAAATTACAGTAAAGGAAAACACAAGAGTAGAAGAAATCAAAATAAATTCATATCATTTCATTCGTAGTCAACTTTACATGAGAAAAAAGGTTTAAATACATCTAAGGATAGTAGAGTTGATAAGTAGATAAGCCTAATGGTATTACATATATAATGGGTCTAATAGATAACAATAACAATAGATAATCCAATTGGTCCTAACAGAAACCCAGTAGCTTAGAATCGCATCAATCTTACCTTTTAACATGAGGCTTGTCCTCAAGCCTCTCAAGACTCAAACCGAGAAAGAAGCATGGAGCAGTCTGGGAAAGAAAGCAGCCAATTTTTCAAACCGTGTACCATACACATCTCCAGTATTAACTTCTGTATGGTCTTTAATCCCGAACCATGTTCTTCCAAAACATCTCCATTGTGGTCACCCAAAAGACAATATCAGTAACAGATATATCCTGCCAAAATAGGTCGTCGTACCCAGTGCACAAGGCTCCCGCTTTACGCAGGGTCTGGGAGAGGTGAATGTCGGCTAGCCTTACCCCCATTTATGGAGAGGCTGCTCCCAAATATATCCTGCCAAAATGAATTCATAAAATAGTTGGAGCACACTGATCTTGACAGCGTTGAGTAAGAGAACTATTGGCCTTGTGCATCACCACCAACCACCAACTCCTGTGGTAGATAGATTGAATTAAAATGGCAAGTGATAGAGTAAGATGTACCAATTGCACCCATTTCATAGCATTCAGCATCTCAGGTGACTGAGCATATCCACTAAATTTCTTGTCAATTTGGGCTTGCTTGATTGGCTCCATAAAAATTAACTCACGTTGTGCAGACTCCAACAGTTTGATCTCTTCCAATAGTCTCAGCCTTGGAAGCTTTCGGGGCCTCTTTCTCATTTCTATCGGTTTTCCAATAGTAGCTCTGCTCATATTTGCTGCTATGTTTTTGTCTGGAGAACTCGAGGATATCTCGGTGCAACTAAACCAGCTTGGTCCAGAAGCCTCATTGTGGAGCAGAGCTCGTGTCATATTAGGAAAATACGACGAATGTAACTGTAAACACGAAAAATTTCTGAAACGAAAGAGACAAGAACAAACGTGCACAAAATAATATTTTGTATTTGATGATTTTGGGTTACAATCTCTCTATAACTTGATCCTCTGATTCGATCTTCATAAGGTGGGTATTTTTGGATGTGCGATTGATCCAAGGGCCATCGAGGCTTGATCTTGGATGAACGGTTGAAAGTTTCTTTAATGGCTGTTGAGGCTTGATCTTGAATGACGGTGATGAACTAATTTTCAAGGGCTTTTGGGCTTGATCTTGAAAAACAGTGATGAACGGATCTTCAAAAGCTTTTGGGCTTGATCTTGAATAACAGTGATGAAGGGATCTTCAAGGGCTTTTGGGCTTGATCTTAAAGAACGGTTGGATGTGTGGATTTGTCGACGTTGTTGATCCAAAGAGCTGTTGGGACTTGATCTTAAGATGAACGGATGATAAATGATGAACACTTTCTTCAAGGGCCGTCGGGGCTTGATCTTGAATTGCTGGAAGTTCTTCTAGGGCCTTTGGGGCTTGATCTTGAATTGGTGGATGATTGTTGATCCAAGGGTCGTCAGGGCTTGATCTTGGAAGAACGAAGAACGAAGAGGGCTTTCTTGATTCTTCGAGAACCTGGATGCTTGAGAGCTTCGTAGTTTCAGAGCTTCAGAGCTTCAAGGTTTTGGTGTAATATCAATTGGTGTCCCCAGATGAATGAAATTGGCTTCTATTTATAGAATTTTCCAAGGCCTAATTTTGAATATAATATTTCAAATGAAATAAGTCGCTTTTGCCAGGTATTGACACGTGTCCTGTTTGATGACTTTTCCGACTCATTTCAATTTTTCGTCGAGTCACATGCTACGTGTAAAATTTATGTAATACATGAGCGTTGAAACTTTGATTTATCGGTCAACATTTATTTACCAAAATTTCGATGTCTACAAATGCCCCCACTTTAAGGCGCGTCGTATACATGTGCTTGTCACGTGTAGGAGATGCGTTTTGAAGTCCTTTAATGTAGATGTCGATCCAAGGGCCATCGAGGCTTGATCTTGAATTGGGCTGGAGATTTCTTCAAGGGTCGTTGAGGCTTGATCTTGAATTGGGCTTGAGATTTCTTCAAGGGCCGTTGAGGCTTGTTCTTGAACTTTGTTTGAAATTTCTTCAAGGGCCGTCGAGGCTTGATCTTAAAGGTTGAAATTGGACCACAAGGAGCTTCATGTGGTAGATGATTTTTGGCTTTGGTTATGGATGAATTGGCACGTATTTGTTTTTGCGCTTGTTGACTTTCCACAACTTTGATCTTGAACTGGGTTGGAGGATTTTGTGGATTCCTCCGATTGTTGACTTTCCACAACTTATTCTTGAACTGGATTTGATTCACGGGGTGGTGAATCGACACGTGCATCCCATAATGCCTAGCGAGTCGACCCAAGAATTTGAGGGTCAAAACGAGTCCTCCACCTAGAGTGATCGCAACCCTGATGATATGAGATACTTTCGATTTTGAAAAAGTAGCGGATGAATTGGCACGTGCTTTGTTGTGCTTGTCTCCACATGCTTCAATGTATCATTTTCCCTTCCTTATATGTTCTCCAGGCAAATGTGGCATCTTCTCGAGTTCCTCAGCTCAGACTCCTTCTGCTGAGTTGACTGTGCAGGCTGCATTCTTCTCTGCTTGTTTCTTCTACACGTTGTCTCCACATGCTGCAAGGTATCATTTTCACTTGCCTTATCTGTTCTCCAGGCAGATGTAGTGGCTTCTTTGGAAGTACAGCAGCAGTGGAAGACGAGTACTCGAGAGCAATGCCAGGTAAGCAACCAGGCAAAAGTTCCAGGTAGTTGATTCCTTACCCGAGTTTGAGTGGAGGTTCCGGCATATTGCTTTCTTTATAGGAAGTTCTTTAATTGTAGAGGTACTATTCTTTCACTCGTGTCAGTAACCATTGAGTGATTGATCAGTATGGCTTCACGTGCTTTCTTCTTTATCAGAAATCTTCGACAAATTATCCGTAATTTCCGCCAAGATGAGTGTGTATGTGACAGGTGTTGACGAGGCTAAAAAAGACTGACGCCTCTTCGATATCTGGGATCGGCGCTTCGACAAATTACCCGTGATTTTCGCAAAGTTGAGTTTGTGTGTGACGGGTGCCGACGCGTCTGGGAAAAGCAAGATGCCTCTCCGATTTCTGAGCTTACCTCTTCGATTTTTGAATTGGCCTCTTCAAATTCTGAGCTGGCCTCTTCGATCTCTGAAATCTTGTTGAATGCTGATTTTTATAAAGGCACACAGTTCGTTTCAAAGCACACTTGAATTTTCGCTTGTAGAAACTCCCTTCTTGCACTTCTAAGATCTTGATTCGTCCGACCTCTTCTTTCTTCAACACCTTTGAAAATGTATGGACCCTCCAACCGTCGTTTTGATTTGAACCTTGGTGAAGAGGCAGTCCCGCCTTCTCCAGACAACATATGGCGCTCATCCTTCATATCCCCTACTGGTCCTCTTACCGTTGGGGATTCAGTGATGAAGAACAATATAACCGCTGCAGTGGTAGCCAGGAACCTTGTCACTCCCAAAGATAATAGACTACTTTCCAAACGGTCTGTTGAGTTGGCTGTTAAGGATTTTCTGGCTCTCAGTGTGCAGTGTGCAGTTTCTGTGTCTAATATGGCCCAACGTCTATTTGCTCGAACCCGTCAAGTTGAATCATTGGCGGCTGAAGTGATGAGTCTCAAACAGGAGATTAGAGGGCTCAAGCATGAGAATAAACAGTTGCACAGGCTCGCACATAACTATGCTATAAACATGAAGAAGAAGATTGACCAGATGCAGGAATCTGATGGTCAGATTTTACTGACCATCAGAGGTTTGTGGGTTTTTTCCAAAAACAGTTGCCTTCGTCTTCTGAGGCTGTACCGCGTAATGAAGCTCCAAATGATCAACCTCCGGCTCCTCTTCTTCCTGGAGTTCCGCCGAGTGATAGGGCTTCACACGAGCAACCTTCGTGAAAGCTCCCTCATGTTTGCTCTTTTTTTTTTTTTTTTACTGATGTAAAATGTACATTTATGTAAATTTTTTCAGAGAAATCAATAAACGAGCTTTATTTTACTAAAACGTA